CATTTTTGGGTAATTTTCCTGTTTTCCCAGAGTCAGACACGAATAAATGCCTTAAACCTTTTGTTATGTATTTTGTGTAATCTTCAGTTATATCAGAAAACAATATTCAGCCATTTTGTCTCAGTTGTTGATTATCTATTGGATCAAATATTTAGAGTTTTTGTTCTAAGAACTGAGCTAAACTGGGGTTTGTGTCAGACTTTAGTTTAAGTCATTTGGTTCCTCACTTTTACTTTAACCCACACAGTTTAATGTGAAAGAGTTTGATAACTGGATTCAGATTTGATTAAAATGCGGCCTGCACACACAGATACAAAAAGTACAGCAGGTCAGAGTTTATAATGACACACAATGAGGAGACTTAACACACACAGAAACCTCTAATTCTTAATTGAAGTGATACCACGGTTTTGGGAGGAGTCGATGTGCAGCCGGTGACTCATTCAAATTATCTGAGTTGTTGCATTAAACATGCACCATCTGGCTTTTTACCTTTTGGCAGCTGCCGTGGAAACATTTCTGCAAGTCGAGGTTTGAAAATATCTGATTCCCACAGTCGGTGGGATTGTGTTGCCCAGCAACAGGTTACTAATACCAGAGACGTGCAACCAGATAAATACTTTAACTGTGGGTGCAAAATGACAAGAACATGATACGTGAACACATACATTCTTCGTTGTTCTATTTTAATTGTTTGTTGCATAAATGTTTTGGATGTTTCAGGCTGAAACGTGTCGGCTGGAGTCCAGGCAAAGGACGACGGCAGCACTGGAGGATCATGTTTAGTCTCCCTGATTAGGAAGCAGGACGGCAGTAATGAGCAGTGTGCTGGATGTGAATGAGATTAAATTGCACCAAATTGCCAAAATGATTCAAGCCCCGACGACTAACGGCCTCCTGCTGCACATGTGCAGTGTTTTCAGTCTGTGAACAGGACTGAGCCACAGCGGAGGAAGCACAGAGGAGGAGGAGGAGGAGGAGGACGATGACCTTCACACTCCTCCACACTCGTCGCTCAGTCATCCACACCTCCGTCAGCTCGCTCCCACGCTTCCTTCAAATCTCCTCACGTGCAGAGGAAGCAGGTGAAAGGCAGGTTCAGAGGAGGACGGGAAGTAAAGACAGAAGTGCCCGACGTTAAAGTCGAACCCATTAGACAGCAGATAAATGAGCTGACGGCGGACGTGGCGCCTGCAGGGGAACTGGGCCGATGCTAAGCAGCAAACTAAAGATCGCGGCTGCCTTGGACATGAATTATTCATTCTCGTGGTTTGTTCTTTTACCAAACGTATTCCTACTCAGGTCCAAAACAGGTGGGAGAAAAAAGCTGCATGCACTGGCTGCCAAACAGGGAAACCACCTGAGACGGAGCACATCTAAAAACCTGCTCAGATTTACCCAAACACAGGATTTACACGACGTTCTCAATGCAGTTCCTACAAGTATACTTTTTATCTAGCGCCACCATCAGGTGAACAAGGTAATGCATAAAACGCTTCGGTTTATGACCAAATACCTGCACGACTAATAACATATGCCTCAGTTGTGCTTTAACTAGCTAATGTTAGCATGCTAAGCCATTAAACTAAATAGTGTCTGCAAAGCATTAGCATCTTAGCACAGGGAAACTAGCATGCTAGCGTTAGCGTTTAAGTACAGCTGCAAATATGGATGGAGAGTCTTAGGAAGAGACTGACTTGGCCTGATCACATTACCAACAGGGGGGCAAAATTTTGCAATTCATGCGTTATTTAGTAAAACATGCAAAGAGCTGCATCCAGCCACAGAAAGCTACTAAAGAAGAAACTATGAACACTTCTGCAGATTCAGTGAAAGAAAGTTGGTAGTTGTGCATAACATGTTGCTGCCACCTTAAAAAACAAACACGTTTCAGATGTTATCAGCCCATTTAATCTCAGTCGCGCTGTGATTTAAGGCTTATCAAGTCTCATTTTGACTTTCACTTTTAAAAAAGAAGCTCACGTTGGACTAAAGGAGACATAGAGAAGCAACTGGAACCATAAACTTGTCAGGAAAGCTTTTACAGAGAAAATGAATCACGTCAGAAGTAAAGTCATTTTCTCATTGACTTTTATACAGTCTGACTTTCTTAGTGCAACCAGAGGAGTCGCCCCCTGCTGGCTGTTGGACAGAATGCAGGTTAAGGCTTCACTTAACCTAAAAACCAGCAAAAAAAGAAGATGTTTTTAAAACAAATTAAACTCTATTGACTGGATTATATTAGTAGTAACACATATCTCACTGGATTTAAGTTGCAATAGGCGAATTAAAGCATATAAAATAAACTGAAAAGTAAATCTGGGAAACCAGAACGGTCGTCATATGAACAATATCGTTGCTGCATTTTTGTTTTATGTCGTGGAGCTGAGAACTAAAAGTAGCCTCATATTTTCATTTCCATGTATTTGCATGAATGCTTCTGCATATTTTCATGTCACATCCTTTTTATTCTCTCCCCACATTATGTAAATGTGCTTGTTTTCTGTTTTACTGATGCAAAAACTCTTTTAATAAACACAAACAAACACAAATATTTTTCCTATTTAACACCAAAAAATGCCAAAAAAACAAACCCCAAATATTTCCTCATCTGTTAATCTTTTGTATGAACAGATGAGCCTCAACTGTCACTCTCTGTTCAGACTCCTTTGGTGGACAAACAACTAATAATAACTAAATCCCCAGTTAGCTGTGTTGTTGCTTCATGGATTTCTCCTTTCATCAACTTCTTCATTGTCACAAAATCCCTGTTTTCTGTCACTCAGACGCTCTCGAACAAGAATCGCTCTCCAAATCATGAAGCATTTCCCGAAAGAAAAGAAAAGCCGCCGCAGAACAATGACGGCGTCGACCGTCTGCCGTGTTAAATCACTCTCGCTGCACTACAGCGCCGCTCCACTGTGTTCTGTAAACAAACAGGGATGTTTGTATCAGGCTGGATGCAAACCGGGATGAAGAATATCGATAATTGTGTAGCTTCCTGAATCATTAATTTGCGCTTGCTATTCGATAACACAGCAGGTGAACCGAACAGCAGATTACATAGAGCAAACACACACACACACACACGCACACACACACACACACACACACGCACACACACACACACACACCAGCAGACGCACTGACAATCACATTTACAGCTTTGTTAACTGTGACCTCTGAATCGGCTTTTCAGAGGCAAACATCATTTTACACTAATACGTTTGATAAAAGTGATTTTGTTTTTTAAAGTCATCGTATCCATGACGACGGATATTGCTCTGCCTCATTCACCTGAGTGGACGACTTCACAACTACATGACTTTTTTATGTTAGCTGGCTCCACAGAACCTAAACCCAGATCGGACATGATGACTGTTAGGAAGGCGGTTGTCGTTATAATACATGGATCTCAGGGATTTTTAAAGATGAAAGCCTGACAGGTCAAATAATAAAGGGGGAGCTGATGGAAAATGAAACTATTGCTGTCATTTGTCATCATGTCATTGATCCAGAATCTGTAATATTGGACAAGTAGATCAATTAATGTCTAAATCATGATTATGGGTGAGTTGAAATATTTAAAAAAAAATCAAAGTCTTAATAAAAAGTCCCACCTTTGAGCTCAAATTAACAAAAAAAAAGATAACGCAGAAGTCAACTAGTGATGTTTTCTGAGCCACATGTAGCTACGTGTCACAATAATGCAAAATTAAACATATAAAATAGTTTGTAATATGAAAAAAAACCTTTCATAACTGATTGAGCAGATATGACAAGCAGTCACCAGAAAAGTAGTAGTAGTCTGATCCAAGTAGAACAGATTTCTAGGTTTTTCAACATGATTCTCCAAATAATAATAATTATTATTATTATTATTATTATTATTATTATTATTATTATTATTATTATTATTATTATTATTATTATTATGGCTGCATTTTCTTATTTTCTGATCCCGCTGCTCAGAGATGGGACTTTACATGGTGGCTTTTTTTTTTTTTTTCAACACACCCATAATCAGGCACTACTTGATCTACTTGGCCAGTATTACAGATGCTGAATCAATGACACGATGAGAAATAACAGTGAAAATTTCAGGTTTTTATCTTTAATCGTTCCTGAGATATCGTCGTTCAAACAGCCTCAAATTCTGCAAAAAAAAACGTGCTGAAAGTGGGTCGACGGGCGATTTTTAAACATTCAATGATCTCAGAAACCATTTCATATATCAGTCTATACTTTCACAGATAACATTTTGAATATAGTTTAAAAGCAAAAAGCAAATCAGAGATGGTGATTTGAGCTTTGAGTTTGAAGAAATCTGTAGGACCATGTGTAAAGTGTTCACACCTGACTTCACCTGCAGACGGTCAGCATCCACTGACTCAGACTGGACCAGATTCTGTTCTACGTTTTCCCGCCTCCTCCCTGCTCACCTTTCAGTCTGTCGGCCAGCAGCGCCGCCTCGTGCTCCGAGTAGTGCACGATGGGAGGAGGAGACGGCGGCCGCAGTCGGTCCTCGTGGATCTTGCGTCGGTGTCTTTCCTCCCTGGCCAGCAGCCGCTGCTTGCACTCCCACTCGTACAGGTCGTCTCTGGCCTGAGCGAAGTCCACGTGGATCCTCCCCGAGTCCTTCTTGTCGGTGCTGGAGCCGATTCGCATCCGATACCCTGAAGGACAGAAGAAGACGAGTCTTTCCCACCGAACTAAAACTCAACCAAATGAGGTGAAATGTTGACCTGACGCCCACCTGACAGGTAGATCGCCTTGTCCACCATGAACTCCTCGCTGAAGCGGATGTGGCAGAAGTTCTTCTTGCTCTTGCGGATGGCGATGATCTCCCCGCACTGGTCGAACACCTCCCGGATGATCTCCTCGGTGGCGTTCTCCGGCAAACCTCCGACAAACACCGTCTTGCAACCGGGAGGACGCTCGCGTGTCGACGGAGGAGGCAGATCTGGAACACGATGTCGTTATATCACCTGTTAGTCATCTGTAATCTACTTTATAAACAGACATTAGGTACAACTAGTGGTGATTTAAACATTAGAGGTTTTGTAATTAATTATTGCATCTTTATCAACCAGCAATATTTAACACAATAAGCAAAGTTTTGTAGTTCAAATGAATTTTGGTTGCCGACTGAACCAATGAACAGATGTGTGCATGAGCTTAAACAACAAAGATGTTGATTTTTCATCCGTCGGCTACGTTCACAGATTGGTGCAAACTCAACGTGCAACTATAACAATTATACGATCAACATTTTAAGACTTTTTATCTTATTGTTGCACAGTTTGCGCCCAACCAAGCTCTTATCTGAGCTGCCTCATGCTACGCGTCCACAGGAGTTGCTTAGTTTGTCACAGGGAGTTTCGTTTCATTTGCATAAAGTCGACGACTTCAGTTTTATGCAAATTTGGCAAATTTTGGCAAAGTCACCCCTGTGGACATGTAGTATTAGGCCTTGATAAGAAGAAAAACTTTCCGCCCAACAAGTCAACAAAGCGGTTTTCATCTTCCATCACTGATCACCAGACTTTCCGATGTCACTCAGGGCATCCTGTGCATCTTTTTTGCAACTGGCTCCAGCTGGCTGGAGTGTGTACGTCAGTGTTACTGATGCACCAGAAATTAGGGAACTGAGAAAGGCGCTATTAAACGCGCTATTTTTTTTGTGTGGATGCATTATGTTTTTCTGTATTTAATAAACTGAAATTAACGTGTTAAAGTCTCAGCCCTAGTTACAACGTAATTCAGTTCAAGTTATTTATACAGCATGAATTACAACATGTCACCTCACAGCGCTTAACATGTACGGTGAAGAACAAAGAACCCAACAATCCAAAGCTGTCTTTGGACTCCCTGTAAGCAAACCATCGGCATCGGTGGGAAGAAACCAAAATAAAAAACCTGAGACAGAACCAGGCTCAGGGGAGGCGGTCATCTGCCCCGACTGGTTGGAATAAGATTATATATAATATAATATAAAGTAATCTGGTTTGTGGCCTCAGACTGGTCTCTGTC